TTTTTAGAAAATGATATTCCAGGGCCCAACAGGTTATATAGCATAAATATGTGAAGTACACCTGCAGTATGGAAACAGTACAACAAAATGGCCGTTTTACACTTTTTTCTAGTAAATTCCTCTCTATATATTATATTCTCTATGAGTTTAATTTAGATTTAAGCAAGTAAACTAAGTCAATTTTCGTATTGAGGGAGCTGAGACAATTTAAGTTCAGGTTAGTCTGAAGAATAAGAAAATATTATAAAAATCACAATATTTACTGTCATTACTTAGGCGTTACAGATTTTGTAAAAAAACAGGTTTTTTTGCAATTTTTTCTTAGCACATTGCACATTTTCACACAAGGGTTCCCTCCAAAACTGACGTTTATTTTATGGTGCGTCATTTTTAAAATTCATATTGCTTTTAAAAATAAGCCATTTTTTGTGAAAATCAGAATTTAGATTTGCAAAAAATAAGTTTTACAGTTTACATTAAGAGAAATCATCCTTATTACATATATTAACACTGAAATATTGAGATCTAAATATATATGTATTTTGTGACCCGGCTGGATTTTTTAAAATCACACTTTAAAGGCCCTAAATATACCATTTAAAAAAATAGTTTTGCCCGGAAAAGTCAAATGTGGTGGTACGGAAGGGGAAATAGTGGTGGCTCTGGCTGCCGCAAGAGAAAAAACGTAATATGTGGTATGGAAGGGGAAATAGTGGTGGCTCATGGCCGCCTGCCTTCCACTGCTCCTCGGTCAAATGGTCAAAAATTTTATTGTAAAACAGTTTAAGAATTCAACACACAAAATATTGCTCCCGGCTCATGGCTGCCGAAAGAGAAAAAAGATAAAATGTGGCACGGAAGGGGAAATAGTGGTGGCTCATGGCCACCCCCCTCACTTAAATCCTGTATCCACCACCCCTGACTACTAACTTACTCCCCTTTACCCTCTTAATTATATATTAGTTTGTGCCCCTGACCCTCTCCCCATAACCGCCAGATCTGTGTTGCCCCTATCTCCAAGGGTATACCTAACAGCTGATTTTAAATTTTGTTTCTACCGCGAAAGCACCTGAAATTGGCGCCGATTTAAATTTTCAGCATTTTCAATTCTTGAACAATTCATCTAAATTCTTATTATTAGTAACCATGGTATCTATTTTCAGGTGTATAGGTAACACCACCAACTTATTTAATGAATCTGTGAGCTGTGAAAGGGTATATTAGTTATAAGAAAATGAAGAGAAAAAACGGAAAAATGGAACCGGAGAATGCGGAACCCTTTGAAAAACAAGCGGAGAAGAGGTAAATCTATTAACCACAATACCACACTTTATACGCTACGGTTAGCTTGGGTTAATCATTTCACATGTTGGACTGGCAATTGGTATTTTAGATTACCTTTTCGTTTTCAACAGATAATATTTATACAAATAATTTGTTTATGTCCCCCCTTTTACTTCCAATAGTGCTGCGGCTAGGATGGGCTAGGGGGCCGAGCGCTGCGGCCACGGGTTAGGTTATTATTAATTATTTTTTGGTTATTTAGGGTTAGGTTAGGTTAAGGAAAGGCCGAGCGCTGCGGCCACACTTTCTGGGCCGAGCGCTGCGGCTAGGATGGGCTAGGGGGCCGAGCGCTGCGGCTGAAAGTATCTTAACCTAACCCTAACCCTAAATAACAAAAGAAAGTGTCTTAACTAACCTAACCCGTGGCCGCAGCGCTCGGCCCCCTAGCCCATCCTAGCCGCAGCGCTCGGCCCAGAAAGTAGCATGGGGGGGTCCGAAAATCGTATACTAGGACAGACCCACAAAAGACGAGAACAAAACAAAGTTCTAAACCTTGCATAAGTATATTATTCCCAGGCGACGTGTAAACGGAGCTGGGGACAGTAAACCCTCGTACCGTACTTGCAGCAATAAGGTAACAAGCATTAAATAAATTTAGTATAAACTCATGAAGATAACTGTTAGTAGAGTATAATCAGAAAGATCCGGCATTAATTGACAGTTAATCAGGCGATTTTACATATACTAGAAATTCAAGGCGCTTCGCGCCCTTCTTTCTAGCCGTAGAGGGCGCGAATTGTGAACATGTTCTCTTTGTGTACATCGTAAAACAAAACAAAAATAATTCGCGGATTTTCACAAAAAATTTCGCGGATTTTCAAAATTTTAAAAATTTAATGACGATCGAATTTTGAGGGAGACAAATATTTGAAATTTTGATCATTCATAAACCTTCCCTGGGCTCCCTAGATGTCCCACAAAAAATTTGGGCCCGATCGATTCAGCCGTTTTGACGTTTATTGGATACAAACAAACAAACAAACAGACAGACAGACAAGCCAAATTTATATATAGATTTCTCAGGCAATTTTAAATGCTCAAACAAGGCAGACCACATTTGGGAAATCACAGGACTATAAGGCTATTCTCTGATCATTGATTAAAATTATATTGTAAAGTCGTCTGATTGATTGTAATCTAGTTCTGGGTCTTTCTCATTAGCATTGTTCTTAATTAGCATGATCAAGGATTGTAACTATAGTTGCAAAATATTGATAAGTTTTATAAAATCTAGATTCGGATTTTAATTTTACAGTTTTGTATTTATTAAGCTTTTAATTGGCTTGATTTATTTTTTCGATTTAAAATAATATTTTATTTTTTCTTGAATGGATCGGATCGTTATGTATCTATGTCTCTTTTCAAAGTGCATTTCTGTGTTTTTTTTTGGGGGGGGGGGGAAATGATGATATTTTCTGATACAGATTCTTTGGCATGGAATTGAGTTTTGACGGTTCAAGAAGTTTCTTAAACTTCCGTCTATATCAAATTGTTTTGAATAATTATTATTTCAGGGTTTAACTATTGAAGAGATGGTAGGGATGGGAGTGGATATCATTGAGGACGCATCTAATGAATCCTTTGATCAACCTCCACCTAAACCTGTCACAATCAACCTGGTTCTTAAACCAAAAGATCCAAATATTAGGAAGACAACGCAGTCATGTTCAGAATTATGGTAAATGTTCAGTATTTTATTTTAACCAGCTTGTTAACACAGCTTTGTCTGGAATATAATTTAGACTACTAAACTTAGAACATTCCCGTTGTTCCCCCCAATGAAAATTTGAGGCAAATCGGTCAAGGGGTTCGTGGGTTATGATCGGACCTACAAACGAACAAGACTTAATATTATAAGATTCTAGGGAAAGAGGGGGGGGGGGGTAAATAATAATTAGACTGAAACTGATCAGTTTTCCACTCCTCTTTTAATACTAATGAAATTTGACATAAAATCTGTAGTTCCCTTAATTCGGCGACAAAAAACAGAAATGAAATAATTAGAATTTTTTACTTGGAGACATATCTCTGAAACAGAAGTCTAATATTTAATTTTTTTTTCTTTAGAATTACCTTAAAATATTCAATATTCATTTACTTGAAAGACTCGCAAGTACTCCAGAGTTTGGAAAAATTTATTTGAAATCCATGAGAAATACTGTTCAGTGAGGGGGTGAAGTATCCAAATACCGGATCCGGATTCTCTGCCAGGATTGGTTACTCTGGGTCCGGATATCCGTATGATAGGATGAGCTCTGTTCTCGGAGACTGTTCTATGCCTGATAAGTTCCATAAGTATACAAAAAGTACACGGCGCAGTATGGTAATCTACTCTTAGTTTCATCACCGTAAATATAAAGTATCAAGAATTTTTTTACTGATTTTGGAGATTACTTTTGCACTGAACAAAATTCGCGGCTTTCTCTGTAACCCATTTTTTCACGAACATTAGCGTTTTTTTCTTTTAGTGGAACATTTCTGTAAAACCCCATAAACCAACGAAATTTTTTTGGTTGGGAGTGTTAATTGGGATTTAGAATTTTAATTGTTTTCACTTATTTCAATGCGTTTACTTTTTTCCTATTTAGGTATGTGGAGAAGATTCCTTTAATAAGATGTCGGATGAGGTCGTCCTCCATGTTTTTAGATGGTTACCTAAATGTAGTTTGGCCAGGTAAAGTTTTCAGATTGTCATCAAAATGTAGTTTGGCCAGGTGCAGTTCTCAGATTGTTACCAAAATGTAGTTTGGCCAGGTATAGTTCTCAGATGGTTACTAAAATGTAGTTTGGCCAGATATAGTTCTCAGATGGTTACTAAAATTTAGTTTGGCCAGGTTTAGTTTTCAGGTTGTCTTCAAAATGTAGTTTGGCCAGGTATAGTTCTCAGATTGTTACTAAAATGTAGTTTGGCCAGGTATAGTTCTCAGATGGTTACTAAAATGTAGTTTGGCCAGATATAGTTCTCAGATGGTTACTAAAATGTAGTTTGGCCAGGTATAGTTCTCAGATGGGTACTAAAATTTAGTTTGGCCAGGTTTAGTTTTCAGATTGTCTTCAAAATGTAGTTTGGCCAGGTATAGTTCTCAGATTGTAACATAAATGTAGTTTGGCCAGGCATAGTCCTCAGATTGTCAACTTAATGTAATTTGGCCAGGTATATTTCTCAGATTGTCACCAAAATGTATTTTGGCCAGGTATAGTTCTTAGATTCTTACATAAAATGTAGTTTGGCCAGGTAAAGTTCTGAGATTGTCACCAAAATGTAGTTTGGCCAGGCAGTGCTTAGGATTCGGATCCGTTGGATCCGCAAGATTTTGGCTTCCTGGATCAGGATCCAAGGGGTAAAATATCAACCAAAAACTGCAAAATAAAACTTTTTTACTCCTAAAACCCAAATCTGAACTTTTGAAAAAAAGAAAGATTATAAAAATTTTCTCATTTCTGAATGGTTTATCAAGTTTTAGGATGAAAATAAGCGAAAAAAAATGAAACAAAAAGTTTGAAAATTATTTTTTGTTGAATAAATTCAGTAAATCTTAAAGAAATGACCTGGATCCGGATCCATTTTTTTCCAGTGCAGATCCAGGATCAAGATCCGCATCAAAATTTATTGGATCCTAAGCACTGTGCCCAGGTATAGTTCTCAGATTGTCATCAAAATGTAGTTTGGCCAGGTATTTGTTACAGTTCTCAGATTGTCACACTCACCTTAATGTAATTTGGCCCGGTATAGTTCTCAGATTGTCACCTAAATGTAATTTGGCCGGTACAGTTCTCAGATTTTCATCAAAATGTAGTTTGGCCAGGTATATTTCTGAAATTGTCACCAAAATATAGTTCGGCCAGGTATAGTTCTTAGATTTTCATCAAAATGTAGTTTGGCCAGGAATATTTCTCGGATTGTAACATAAATGTAGTTCGGCCAGGTATAGTTCTCAGATTGTAACATAAATGTAGTTTGGCCAGGTATAGTTCTCAGATTGTCACCAAAATGTAGTTTGGCCGGCCAAGTATAGTTCCTAGATTGTCACCAAAATGTAGTTTAGCACGGTATTGTCCTCAGATGGTTACCCTAAATGAGTTTAGGCAAAGTATTGTTCTCAGTTGGGTCACTAAATTGTTAATTTTGTGCACGGTAATTAGGTAGCTGAGTTGGTTAATTATCTTATGCATTGAGAGAAAAAATACATAACCAAGCTTTTAATGTTTTCATTAAATTGCTTCTTAGCGGTCCTCCTAATATGTGACAGTAAGATGTGTACACAAACTATAAACTATTATTTTTCTAATTAAATATGTGTTCAGATGTGCACTAGTTTGTAAACGTTGGAATAGACTGAGTAAAGATGACTCTCTCTGGAAGAGAGTTGATTTAGGTTTAAAAACAATCCATCCCGGAGTTATAGGACAGGTATGTAATTAGTTTTTTTTAATGGTTTCTCGCTTTCTATCAATAACTTTATGTTTATTATTGTGAGGGATTTTTATCTATGTCTTACTCCTTTGATCTGATCTGGGTTCTACTTCGTTTTTGGTCTTACTGTGGGGTTTTATTTTAATCCAAAATTGTAAATGTAATTGTAATTACCCCCAGGGTACACCCATGAATTCCGTAAAAAAATCAGCCCATTCGTTCCAACCGTTTGCCCGGCTATAGGGAACATTTAGATGAATGTCTTGTTTTAATATATAGAAGATGTATTAGTGATTGCTATCTCGTGATCAAAATTTTTTTATTTTTCAGGTTCTCTCCCAAGGAACTCAGGTTCTTCGCTTGGCCAGAGCCAATATCTCTGCTCCGATCTTCCAGTCACCGTTCCTACCGGAGCCGAGCCTGCGTCCTGGTGAGCTGTGTAAGCTGCAGTACCTAGATCTCAGTATGGCAACTATCAAATCAACTTGTTTAGCGGAACTCCTCGACAAGTGTAAAAATTTAAGAAAACTTGGTAAATATAATTTTTTCTACATCTACAAATAATATAGTGCAGAAAATATTGAGGTAAAGGTGTCTCAACCTGGGTCTTCAAGCATTAACGAATAGCACTGTTTGAAGTTTTTTGTCGGAAAAATTAATTGCGATTCTTTTTGTTCTTTTTTTAGCTATTTTCTTGCTCGTCTTCGCTTCCACTATCTATGAGTCGGTTATTAGAAAAGGCGGGGTCAATCGTAACATACTGAGAAAAAAATATTTTCTTCATAATTCCAAATTTTAGTGGTTTAAATGGAAAGGTACAGAATCATCATGAACTAAAGGCTTTAATTTGGATGAACAGAGCTGAAAACTTTAGAATGAGATATCCTTAATCTTGATAGCTTAATCTGAGTATCCAATGTATTCTTAATCCTCTTTTTTGATAACCCTACTGTATAAAAGTTACGATTGATAACAATTACAGATTATACAATGTTATATCGATTGGATTAAAGTCAGCTGTTCACAAGCCGGCTTTTAAAGCATTTAAGCAAATATAAAATTAATCTTGTTAATGTGAACTTATTTAAAAAATATTTATCACATTTTAGGACTATCATCATTTTAAACGTTAGCCTTAAACATTAATCCAAAACTTACAATTTATTTAATAGATGTTTAGTTCAATTGATATGACACAAATAACATCAGAAGAAAAAACCGGTTTTTCAAAAGTTAAAGAGTACATCTTAACATGATACGCTGATTGGTTGAATATTATACTTCTTTCTTGGATATCGAATGCGTATTGAAATAATCTTGGGTTTAGTAAAACCAGGAGTTTAAGCATTAATCTTGATATCCATAAAGTTTTCAGCTCAGTCCCCTTATAAATACTGTGTTTTAGCTCTGGAGAAGTGTGATATCTCTGAGAGTGTGTGCTGTAATATTGGAAACAATCCTAAACTAGAAGTTCTTAATCTTGCAATGTGTGAGGTAAAATTAGATATTAAATACAGGGCCTATATTCTCTTGAACATTATTACCTTCATGCACGATTCACAACGGTGCCCTTTAAATGTTTATCTGAACAACAATGAGAAAGATATCATTTTTCGTTTTGGAATAGTGTTTAATTCTGACAATTCCCTTCTTTCTCTCATGCATATAGAGAAATCACTGGATTGGATATTATCAAGTTTGAAATTGAAAAACCAAAAATCTTCATCAATTTTGCTCAGACAAAGGTTCATGCAAAAGGGACCGTGTGAATATGGAATGCCACTCTTAATTTTAAACAACAGTCCCTTTAGTACTCGTCTTTGCGTTTTCTCGGCGTTTTTTTCAACAAATAAAATTTTTTTCTTCTTCAGAATCTTAGAAATCTCTTTAATTTTGATTGGTCTTCTTCAGGGGTTAACAGAGGACGGAGTAGGTTCAATAATGGCAGGATGTAAAAACATGACCGAGTTAAACATCAGCTGGACAGATCTCAGTACTCCAGGGTTGGATATACTCTGCAGCACTGCTCCCAGGGGACTAGAGCGCATCTGTCTAGCAGGGTACAGAGATACACTTCAGGAACCAAGAACTACAAAACTATACCCATTTTTTAGATTGAAAATTTGTTAATTTGTAAAAGAAAATTCTATCGCACAAATGAAGAAATACTTGATAGTTCTGGTGTTCCAGGATGCCCACGTGGAAAGTTTAGTGGTGAGGTGTAGAAATCTCCGCGAGTTTGATATCTCCGATGCTACCAAGATCACCTCAAAATCTTTAATTTCTATCATAGAAAATCTAGTCCGTATTGAAAGCCTTTCCACCACAAGGTAAGGTTGTACAATTATGATAATTCTTGACGGTATTACGGGGTGAATATTCACCGAAACATATCATTTATTATTTTAAGAAGACGTGAAAGTCGGGTTTTATTTTGTTTAACAATATCTGCGAATCTAACTCTTGTTGCAGAATTAAAATATTTTGATTTTAAATGTCTGGAAACATAATTTCCCCCCATAGTCAATTTTTTAGATGTTACAAAATAATTCCGTCTAAATATCTTCTGATAAACTATATACTTAGAGGGTACAAAATAATTCCGTCTAAATATCTTCTGATAAACTATATACATAGAGGTTACAAAATAATTCCGTCTAAATATCTTCTGATAAACTATATACTTAGAGGTTACAAAATAATTCCGTCTAAATATCTTCTGATAAACTATATACCTAGAGGTTACAAAATAATTCCGTCCAAATATCTTCTGATAAACTATAAACGTAGAGGTTACAAAATAATTCCGTCTAAATATCTTCTGATAAACTATATATTTCGATGTTACAACATAATTCCGTCTAAATATCTTCTGATAAACTATATATATAGATGTTACAATATAACTCCGTCCCAATACCTTCTCCTGATAAACTGTCCAGCTCTTCTTTATCTCAATGTGTATGGATTACTGAAGGAGACGGCACTGACAGAACTCAAGTAAGGAAATTTATGAAGCTTCCCACGATGGGCGAATTTTTGGTAATGTCAATTTAGTAATGACAATTTGGTAATGACAATTTGGTAACGACAATTTGGTAATGACAATTTGGTAAGCTCACAAAAGTGACAATTTGGTAATGACAAATTGGTAACAACAAAAAAGTGACAATTTGGTAATAAAAATTTGGTAACGTCATAAAAGTGACAATTTGGTAAACGAAATAAGTGACATTATGTAAAATTGTTTAATTTTTAGTTTTATATTCAATTGAAGATAATTGATTCTAGGAATCTTTTATTTCTGTCCAAAAGAAATGCGCCAAAAATAATTGTAAAATTCGCAATATTTTCTAAAAACCACATTTCAACCTGCACTTGTGTCATATACTGCAAGAAGAGGAGACTTGGATCATGAATTACTTAAATGTTACAAGATTCAGAAGGATTTAAATACTACAACAAGAACGGACTTTATGTATGTCAATGTTAGGAAGTTATTAATGTTACTTTTTATATGTAGTTACCAAACTGTCCCTTTTATAGTCAACAACTAACATTTAAGAGGATGCAGTGCTTGGCCCCTAGCCCATCTTAGCCGCAGCGCTCGGCCCAGAAATTGTCATAACCTAACCTAACCCAAAAAAATGTGAGAAACCGCACATTATTTAACATTTAATAGCCCGCAGCGCTCGGCCCCCTAGCCCATCCTAGCCGCTGCGCTCGGCCCATAAATTGTCTTAACCTAACCTAACCAAAATATTGAGAGAGACAGCACATTATTTAACATTTATTAGGCCGCAGCACTCGGCCCCCTAGCCCATCCTAGCCCCAGCGCTCGGCCCAGAAACTGTCTTAACCTAACCTAACCCAAACTAATGAGAGAAACAGCACATTATTAAACTTTTAATAGGCCGCAGCGCTCGGCCCCCTAGCCCATCCTAGCCGCAGCGCTCCGCCCAGAAACCTAACCCTAAATAATGTGAGAAACAGCAAATTATTAAACATTGAATTGAATTAAATTTAAATTTTATCAACAAATTGTCACTTTTTTGTAGTTACCAAAATGTTATTACCAAATTGTCACTTTTTTGTAGTTACCGTATTGTCATTACCAAATTGTCACTTTTTTGTCATTACCAAATTGTCACTTTTGTGAGCTTACCAAATTGTCATTACCAAATTGTCGTTACCAAATTGTCGTCTTATCAAATTGTCATTACCAAATTGACATTACCAAAAATCCGCCCGTCCTTCCCACCCTATCTCTTTGGAATGTTGATTTTCCCGCAAACATTATTTTAAATCGCTACGGGGTGTACCATTTTTTAAATAACACTTGCTTCACAAATTCAATTTATTCAAAATACAATTTAATCACGTTCTATCTGCAGCATAATTTTTTCCCCCAATCAGTATTGATTTTATAAAAATGTTAACTTTTTTCTTGAATTTTGTTTGCTATTTAGGGAAAGGTTGAGTGGGATAGAAATCAACAAACATCCGCTCACCAGCATAGCGCGTCCAACAATAGGTAAACATAAACATAAAAAATTAAATGAATTTATTTATATTTGTTTTTTCTCTTATTTTCTGCAAATCATTCTATTCAAATAAGAGTGTTCACACTAAAGAGTGGTTTTTAAATTAAAAAATGAATTCCTATCCTAAGTCCGTCTTATGGTTAACACGTCAGGCCAAGAAAAAAAAACGGGGTTCTGCCACTAAAGCGTAGGTGCGACCGAAGAATTGGATCAAATTCTTTCATAGAAAACTGATTGTTGTTTTTGCCAACGCATACCATGGGTGGTTTCTTAATTAACATATATTATTATTTCCCCTTTTATCAAGGGACTGAACGCGTAATTTCAAATAACCTTCCATTTTTAGAGTGACTACACTTTAATCCTTTGTAAGATAAAGGATTTCGTAGATATTCTCATTTATATATAGAGGGAAATTAAGTGCCAAGAAACAGCACGAGTGTACACTAGCACGGAGTACACTGTAACCTGGAGTCTCCCTGCACTCAATCTTCAGCTATACAAATGCGATATTCACCTCATCGTTGTCCGGACAAATGCTTAAAGGATACCGTTGTTAATCGGACATGCATATGTATAACTGAAAGGTCACTTGAAATTACGTTTACAGTCCCTTTAAGCTAGGATTGTTTGAAAAATAAAATAAAATAACAATTGTAATTCAGGAATAAAACGGACTTCAATATGGAACCTCCGTGTTCGGGACTAACTGGACTCTCAGCTAATTCATCTCAGTCTAAATTCATCCTAAAGACAATCAAGAGTTCAGAATTCAATCTGGAGATAATCTACGGTTCATGATTCAGTCAAGAGATAGTTAAGAACTAAAATTCACCATGAAGACAATCTAGTCTTCGGACTTCCATCTGGAGAAAATCGATGATTTTATGATTCAATCTGGAGATAACCTAGAATTCAATTCAATCTTGGGATTATCTAGCGAAGACTATGTAGACTGTAGAATAAATCTGGAGATAATTGAAGGAAAAAATTGAATGAAAACAAAACTTGATTGTTTCCAGATTTTTAAATGATTTGAAAATCTCGATGAAGTCTATAATTCAATCGACAGAAAATATCAAATAAAATTAAATCTGGAAATGAAAAGTTTCTCTGTTTAAATTTGGAGATTAAGAACTTGACTCTTCGACCTTTTTGATTAAACAAAAATACATGATATTCCCAGTAGGTGATTAAAATGCTTTCATTAAAAAATTAATTCGATGATCGTTCTTAAACGAGTTATTTTTTCAAAAATAAAAATTCAAATTGTATATTTGTAGTAAGCCTTAATTATCTTTTTGCATTGCTATATTAAATAAATAAGTGAACTACAATTTCATCCAAAAAAGCGGCGTTTTATCTAATATTGTAATATTCTTATTAATTAAGGGCGTATTCAGCTCGAAATCTTTTTTTTATGATTTTTGGCGAGTTACAAGATTTAAAATGTTTACCCGTCTTTTCGTTTGTTACAAATTCACTTATTTTGGTTTTATGTAGAGCGAAAGTAGTATTTGTTTTTTAATAACTGAAAACTTAATGGATTCTCTTGTTTAAGATATTATTAAAAATGAAAAGTATGATCTCATTTGTGATGAAAATATCTTGTAAATTAGGGTAATATTTATTTGTAATATTTTAAATGAAAATTGATAGGGGGTGATAGTAAAAATGTATCGTATAAAAAAATCAATAAATAATTTATAAAGATGACCTCTCTTTATGAAATCTTTAAAATAAAATTCTGTTAGTTTAAGGTCTGTTGAATCCAAATTCATATTAATTTATTTTAAAATTAATAAATATGAATCAACACGACTTCTGTGTCATGTTATTAGAAATTTAAATCGACTGATAAATTCGATCTTTTATATGCTAATAAAGACGGCATGAATTTCAACTAATAAAAAATGAAGACCTCAAATTTTTTTCCTTATTTCTTTACTTTGATAAACATCTTATCATTGTTTAAAGGTACTGAAGATATTGTAAATAACCTATCAAGAAGGTCCTATTCACATCGGCACCCTACATTAACAACAAAGAATAAAATCATTGACGTTTTTCTAGTTTTCATGATAGTTCGGATATTTCATTGTCATTCACGCTAAATTCTTACTGGCTTAACGGGTACTGATTGGACATACCATTCTATAAATAGACACCCTCCCTGGTAACTGTAATTTGAATAGGACATACAAATAGCTTTTTATTCCGACTTTAGGAGAAAATTATGTACATAATTTAAGATGTTAAAAACTAAAATGTGAAATAAATGTGATCACGTATCATTCATTAAGTTATTGAATGGAAAGAAATATTTTTTTGCTTGCAAATAAAACCCTACTTAATTTTTTTGCTGCTCCGCGATAACATATCTAATTTGAACTGCAAAAGAAGGTATCGCTTAAATCAACGATTATGCAAGATGAAATTCAATTCAAATTTTTCTGTAATTATATTCTTTTTCACGTAAAAATTTTTTTAAGGTTTTATATTCCACTTAATTAGTAATAATTAAGCACTACTTATGATAATTGATAAATACTTCTTATCTTTGAGAAAACAAACCTCTCATGCCACTATGTCGAAAAATTTGAAAAAAATCTTTTATTTAAACCTAAAACACAAGTTTAAAAAATCCTGTATTACACAGGCACATTTTGAGGTATTTCCCATGCTCATTTCCGCATAGCGGAGGATCATAGCGTCCGGTGGTTTCCTCCCTCTTCACAAAGCAGACTATGAAAGATATGTGGTTCTTTAATAAAAAAAATAATCAGTACTTTTGTCAAAATAGGGGTTTTTTAGGGGTTCACAAAAGATTCGGCGCGCGCATAAGATGCCCCCTGCACTAAAGCTCTCGTACCCCCCCCCTGAATCATATTACTTTAATAAATATCTAAAGTGTCGAAGCATTGCGTCTGATGTCAAAAATTGCTTAAATGGTGTAACCAATAGGGGGAAGGGACCACTCATTGAGTGACACCGGATACCAGCATAGCTCTACGGGTGAGATTGTTTCAATAAACTTAACAAACTTAATGTAAACTTATGTTGGTGAAAAGAAAAAACTTAATTGTCCTTGATTACTGGATACTGTTGGAACTACTGATAAAAGAAGCATTTTTCAAACAATATGTATTATTCATTTCCGTAAATTTGTCGTTCATTGAACCCGTCGTTCTTTCGAATTTTGAATTAATTTTAAAGAGTTTTGGGTTTTGAATAATAACCATTGTGTAATCTGTGTTAATTAAGTCTAGAGTTAATCTATGTAAATATTAATAGGCTTTATGTTTCAGTAATATTAATGCAAGATGAACACTGACTATGATAGTTACAGCGAATTTATTGAAGAAAAACAGATTTATTTTCAAATAACAAATTTATGACAGTAACACAAAACATACTTCAAAAAAAATCAAAAATCTAATAATGGCGTCGTGTAGAATAAATTCTTTAACGTTTTCCTCTTCGTCCCCTACCCCGTCCACGGGCAGGAGTCTGGACAGCCTCGGGTTCAACCTCCTTCGCCTCATCCAGGAGACCTTCCATTTCCGGTTCATCCTCGTCCTCTGCCAACGCATTCTCCAGATCCTCCATAATATTATCATCGTCTAGGTTCATCTCCTCCTCATCCTCAACCTTACTTTCATCTTCAGCAATGTCAAGGACTTCAGCAGTCTCAGGTTCATATTCTTTCTTTTCTGCAACATCAGATGTGGCAACTGTATCAGTAGCAGTAGCAGTTGCATCAGTAGTAGTAGAAGTATCAGCGTCCATTGCAAAAGCTTCTTGAGTCTCAGTATTGTCGATATTCTCAGAAGCCTACAATTAAAATATATAATATTCAAAAACTATTTAAAAATTGTCTATTTGAAAAAGACGACTATGAAGGACACTATAGAAAAACAAATACATATTAAACCGCAGTGCAAATTTTAGAGCTAACATTTTTATATTAAAACCCGACCTAACATAAACTCAAGCTTTTGTAAAGTCCGGTTTAGGGTATGAGTGTAGATTTGGAAACGTTATGTATGTAATTTTTCATTTGCTTGGGCGTAAATAGACGCTACAGCCGGACTTTATTCAGGTTTAAGCTTTTAAAATATTAGCTAAGATCACTTCTAGTGATAAATAAGATGTTCATGTTTATCGTAAAATGTATTGTATTTGTAGAAAAAAATTAAGAAACTGTTTTCCTTAAATCTATGAATAATCTGAATAAATATATATATGAAGATTTTAAAAAAAATACGGGCGGAGTAGCCATTTTTAAATGAATGGTGAAGATAATTTACATTCATACGTATCACAGGCCAAATTAATTCCGAGTTTTCATGAGAACCCCACAGCTAGTTTATATCTTATATAGCACAATACGACAAATACGAATGGAATTGAGTCTCTGTCATAAACTCTAATTTACTAATCCCTATATCTAGGCAACCCAATGTCTTATACCTTAGATATTTCAAACTATCAAGTTTGTTCGATCAAATAATCCAAGTTTGAAAAATCAACTTCCCTCCATCAGGTTGCAAAGATTAGACATTTTGAATTTGTGGCGAAAGCTCAATTACTTTATTCATATTTTGATTGTCTTAGATGCTTTCAAAATACGCGACCCGTCCCTTTGTAATCTGCTTCACCTGTTCTTGTCCTTCTTCGTTAGTTTTCTCCACTTCCTCTTCCTGTTCTTCCGGTTCCTCAGGGAGAACTATATCAAGTCTAAATAAATCAGGATTATCTACAGAGAATGACAATTTTTTTCTTACATTTGTAGTTTCCTACAGCTAGTAGTGTTTATCGTTTGGGATCGTTTAGAAAAATCAATAAAACTTCCAATATTTCAACTTTCTTTTACTTTGCAATATCTTCATCCTAAAAAAAAATGAAAAACGATCGTTACAACACTATCGATGTTGCATCGTTTTTGGGTCGTTATCTGCATTTTTATTCTGTCCAGTTAATTTTAGAATCCAATTAATTTTTATGCGGATCCGGATCCTGGATCCGCACTTGAAAAAAATGGATCCAGATCCAGGTTATTTCTTAAAAAATTTACTGAGTCTTTTTTAAAAAGCAAAATTTTCAATTTTTTGTCTCATTTTTTTCGCTTGCTTTTATTGCTAAAACTTGATGAACCATTCAGAAATCAGGAAATTTATATTAACTTTCTTTTTTAATAGTTTAAGATTTGGTTTTTTTAAGTAAATTTTGTTTATGCAGTTTTTGAAAATATTTTGCCCCTTGGATCCTGATCCGTGGATCCCCATATTTTTGCGGATCCGGATCCAGGAAACCAAAATATTGCGGGGATTCGGATCCGGATCCTAAGCACTGATTCTGTCCATAAAAAAATTTGAAATTGTGAAAGAAAAGCAAATGTTTAGAATAAACAATTTTTCTACACTTTCGTCAAATTTTTAACCTGAAAGAAAATATGTGTAAAAACGAACAAACTAAAGGCACATTACTACCTACCGCTATAGTCTAGTTTTCTTCTAGCGATCAGTTTAAAATAAGTCTTATTGGACGACCAACTAAATATTCTCTTTTAGTTTAAAATGTTCCTTTAAATACTCAATATGTTAAGAATTAGAATAAAAGATAAAAAATCTTAGTCAACAAAACGGAGATTTATCCTCTTTTTATTTTTAAATAGCGGATGAAAGGATTTTTAAAACAAAATCTGATAATTTCGAATCGTTCTAAAAAAAGAAGTAATTTTCACCATTTTTTATACCTGGCCGCCCTGAAGAAAATGTCCTCGATCTCTCTACTGATTACGAAGCTTGTGTCCTCTGGTAGACTAAAGGCCGCCTTAAGGGCTACGCTGGCAGCCTCCATCAAGTCCTAGAAGTTGCAGAGTTATGATCTGAAGAACTTGACAAGTGTTTAGAGTTGGAAACTCTTGTATTGTGGATATCGAGATTACTGCTTGATATCCTCTTTTTTAATACCGATCGGTTATTTAATCTGGAGATTAATAGCAAGAGGAAAACAAACATTATTTAATCAGAGCTGGGAACTTTTGAATGGTGGATATCGGGATTAAGGCTTCATCCACTCTTTTTCTTAATCTCGAAATTAAATAATGCTTGTTCTCCTCTTGTTATTAATCTCCAGATTAATTAACCGATCGGGATTAAGGATATCCCATTCTAAAGTTTTCAGCTATGGAGATTAAGAAAAAGAGTGGATTAAGCATTAATCCCGATATCCACCATTCAAAAGTTCCCAGCTCTGCAGATTTATTAAATCTTCATTTGATATCCGTGAACATGTCTAAAATTTAAGAAACCGAACCGAACCGGTAATCAGAAGCCGGAAAACTTTGCCCGCAATCAATGAGAGAACGCTCATATTAGTCGGAACCCAGCAGGGATAAATGATCCAAAATAGAGGATTAGGCAGAAAATCAAAAGTGTCCACAGTGGATATCGAGATTAAGCCGTAAGTATTAAAAGGGTATCCAGCTCTTGAGTCTCCAGCTCGGGAGACAAGTTTTGTCACTGAAAGAAATCTATTCACTGAACGACGTATATAGACTGACAAGACAATCCAATAGTAGTTTTAATCTAATTGTGAAGCAATTCAATTCTAAATAAAAATTAACTCTTTTTGATAAACCCATGGAACAGTTTGCCAGACTATACCAAGGGTGTCAAACCCTTAAACATGTTCAAGAACAGCTAGTCGAGAATATAAAGTAAAAAAAAAACATCCAGTTATAGAGTCGCTTTTTTATTACCAAAAATGGTATCTAAGCAAAACCAAAACAATATAACAATATAAAACGTAAGCCCACTGTACAAATGTAAACTACTGGTAAGCTATTTTTTATTATAAACACAAGAAGTTAATGTTTACAGAACATTCAGGAAACATCTTCAAGGGGAAAATTAAAATGGGACTTTTTCTTCTTTGAATCTAAAAAATCATGTTTTTACGTATAAAAATTAAACTTCAGCTTTAGATAACTTTGGAAGTTTGATTTATGAGTTGTGAGGGGTACACTAAATAATTGTTATTCATATATCTTTGAATTTATCTCATAAAGTAGGAAAACACATACCTTTGATTCCGAACCCTCAGCTTGTTTAACAATCTCCCTAAAACACCAAAATTCTAATTAAGTTTTGATTGTTTAGAATTTTTTTGAATTACAAATGAACTAGCAGATCAAAGAGAAGCTTTTTTAATTGACGGCTTCTCTCGACTTCTATATGTTTATGTGTATCCAATATCCATGCTGCTTAACAGCTTGATATAAATAAAAATTAAAACCGAAAGTGGTCTTCATTGTATTGATATTATCGCCTACCAGTGTAGTACTGTAGTATATCTTAGCGAGGTTTTAAATCTAGAAACGTCCACGAGACTTTTATAAATTTAGGTTTTCAGCATCATCTTTTTCCTTTTTAAAAAAAAGAAAAAAAGCTTCAGAAGAAAGCGTAAGAAACTAGTTCCATATTTAATAAGTAGCTCGAGGTAGTTGAACTGCGGAAGCGATGTCAAACCACTTCTCTTGATTTAGGTTAAAAAGAAATGGTTTAAATTAGTCTACGGGGTTTAACTACTTAACGGTTACCATCTGGCCTCAGAAAACTCCATCTGAGAAAAATTTACATTTTTTCTCTTAAGCTTGTTTTTCATGATATACACAAATTGCTTAGTTTTCCAGCAGTTTATACCTGTACTGAAATTATTATATTAGCCCAAGCCTTTAGTATTAATAATATTAAGATTATTAATACTCTAAAACTGAGCTGTACCCCTCACCCCCCATCATATTAGATGGTTGGAGATTATAAAAAAAACTTCAGCAATTTTTGATTTCAACCAACCATCTTTTTTCGTAAAAATCCCTTTTTTGTGCTCCAAAATACATTTTTATATTATCTTGTAAATTTACAAAATTATTTGTTTTTGTTTTTCATGATTTACACGAACTGCTTAGTTTTACAACAGTTTATACCTGTACTGAAATTATTATATTAGCTCAAGCCTTTAGTATTAACAATATAATCATTATTACTACTCTAAAACTGAGCTGGTACACTGCCTCTACACGTCATGAAATATAAAGGGAAAAAAAATATAAAAATATAGCTTTTTTAACCAACCAGCCTATTTTGATAAAAAAAATTTTGAAAATTTAAATATACATATATTTGTTTTTCTTCAAAGATTTACATAAATTGAATATATGATTATAAGAATTTCAGAAAAGTTATTTGATGATCTGGATATGAAAAAGAAAAATTGTAATTTAGAAAATATTAACTTTTTTTCTTTTCCACATTTTAGAGTTATTCTCTAAATTGTGTCAAATGGCAATCATACATAACTTTAAATTTCCAAGAGGGGGGGAATGATTTTACAAAAAAAAAATTAAAAATATACCATTTGTCCTTTGTGCTGTTATACACTAACCTGTCCAGAAAAGCCATGAACGCGGTAACAAGGTATGGTTTGCTGTCTTCAACTGTTGGGACACGAACATTTTTAGTCTTTTCCTTTTTATCATTATTCCTTCCGCTGTTCCTGTTATTCCTTCCCCCTCCTGTCTTCTTACCTCCGTCCCTTCTCTTATTCTCAGTATCCTGAACAAACTTGGTTTTCTTGAAGGTTTGAAAAAAGGAAAAAATGATTTTAAACGATTAAAGGAAAAAATAAAATATTGACACCAAAATTTAAAAAAGTTCAAGAATTTTAAACCTTCATTTTGATAATTTTTACCCAAACATAAATCTATTTTACCCTTAAACTCTTTCACTTTTCACACATTACTAGTCTTTTTTGATTAGCATAATTTTCATAAACCACTGTGACGTAATTCTTGTTAAATTCTTCGTTTAAATATGAGTTTTTTTTATTTAAGAATCTTCCGATTGTCAAATTTTATTTAAAATAACCAACCTTTGATCCCATTGCTAAGTAATTTTCTTTAAGTTCTTGTTTTAAATAAATAAATTTTATATTTCAGAATTTGACGATTTGATAAAATTATATTCTAAAAAACAACCTTTGATCCTCGTACTCGCATTCTTCTTCCTTGAATTTCCTTGCCGTCCATCGTAGCAATTGCTTTCTCAACCATCTCCATACTAGTAGTCTCAGCAAACGCAAACCTAGAAATGTTTTTTTATAAAAAAGGAAAAATAAGATCTTATCTTGGAAGAAAATTATTTATGAAATGCCAATCTGTGGGATCAAAATGCCAACTATAAAAAGTTTTCATAAACAAAGAGACGCATAAATCCGTGGAAAAGTTTAACGTCCATTAAGCAATCTTTTGTTAGTTTGATGTTAAATGGCAATGAATTCACCCGCAGCTTGAAAATTAAGTTATGAAGTGAACTGGGTGTTTGTACATTGTACACAGCACAATACCAGTGTTTCATGTCTATTGGAGAATATTGAAAATCAAAACTTGAGTCTAAGTCTTCCTATTCCACAGTTTTATGGATGCCACAAGCAGTTTTATTCTTATTTTCCTCGTATAATATCAGATAAATTGTTGTTGAAAAGAATATACTGATCTCGAGGTTAATTGTTAAGATAAAAGGTCTTGACTATGAAAAAGATTATGAACGGTAGAACTCACACTTTGCTATTATGATCACTCTTCATCCTGATCTTGCCGACTTCAATGTTGTACTCCGTGAAGAGGGTCTTGAGCTCTGGCTCCTTGAACCCTGCAGGGTAATTCCCGATATAGATCTCATGCTCGGCCCTGATATACAACAAGGTTTTATTCAAGTACCATACACCTTTCACAACAGTAACTTTTTAACTTTTATCTGAGAATAGGAAATGAGGGTAGTTTCATGCTTGTCTATGCTGAAGAAATCCAAGAAGTGATTTTACAAACAAAACGAAAAACAGGTCAAAACTTTGTGTTGTGAATCTCGGGACCAATTTCAACTGTGGTTCAAGCATTTTACCTAGTTGAGTGCCACATCAAAAATCAAGATCAAGCGATTCGGCGAAATAGGTCAATTTTATTTCTTCAAAATGTTCTAAAATCAAATTATATTTGCCAAGAATCAAGATATTTCGAAATGTACAATTTGAACCTGAAACTGAGGAGGGTCTTGCGTAACCGCTGCAAACTAAACTCATTTTAAAGAGAAAGTGTTTACAGAGCATGATTTGCTCTCTTATAGCGCCATCTGTTTAAATTGCCAGATCTCAGGCAAAATCACTTTAAAAATAAAGAGTCTAAGCTGTCGGTCGCCTGAGTCGCTTAGAAAAAGTGCCGCCAAAACCACTGACTATTAACTTTTAACAAAATAAAGAATAGAAAAGATCTGTAGTGCACTTGAAAATTTTGAAGATTTCTAAATTCAATTTCGAAGATTTCCAAGTTTTCGCGCCAAGAAAAAAAACCTGTTTATGATGAGATGAAGATGTCTAGTAGTCTACCTGTCAGCTGGCGGAGACCTTCGTCTTGGACTTCTCCTTCTCTTGTCACGTGACCTAGATCTTCCTCGCCGTCGTACAGGAGATCGATCCCGTCCACCCCGCTACAAGGAGAAAACGGTCAACAGGACCGGGCAACACTGGGGTCGGAGAAAAGAAAAACAGGAGAAAGAGTGACCGCTCCAGTGGGTCAAAAAGGAGATGTTCCAAAGTTTTCAAAAAATTCCAAAAAAATTTGAATGATAATAACACTTTTTAATACATTAAACTTACCCTGGGCATGAGATCATGTCTGTCATTTCGTTGCATTGAATGCATTGGAACACCCATTCCCTAGAACAAATAAAAATACAAAAGTTGAAACTAGCGGAAGAAAGTTTTTAATTTTAACAATTAATTTTTGACTGCACACAAATTAAGAAAATAATTTTTAAATGGTGAATAGGTAAAATATATTTCATAGCGCATTTATAAAACTTAAAGACAGTGCAGAGTTTGCAACATGTTCAACAGAAAGACCTGTTATAAAAGGAGATTCTTAAAGAGATAAAAATGTCAGTTTTTTCAGAAGAAAGCACTGATGTAAAAAAAAAAAATATCTGCCTTAATTATGTTACTCACGTTGACTTTCAGTTAACATGAGACGTAGCTAAAGATTCGAAGAATTTGTGTTTACAGAAACTATAATTTCAAGTAACCTTCCCTTTAATGATTTCCGTGTCCGAATTTAATGAATTTGAGCCGCGTCTTAAATCCGCCAAAAACCGGTTTCAATTAAGCACCGGCTTAAATCTTGAAACATTGAATACAATTTTAAGTGAAACCAACTATATTTGAGCCACGGCTTAAATTTAAATCTTTAAATTCGGCCTTAGATTAATAACGGTTTAATCAAGGACTGAATAAGATTTGCATGTTTCTCTGTTTATAAATTGAATATTTATAATTGAAGTTTCTCTAAAACAATGGAAGAAATTGTCAGAAATGTGACACTTTTCAATAAATAAATCGACGATATCTTCCACATTATTCACCAGATCAAGGCTTATAAGATACCACTGTTTATTGAGCATACCGTTTAAGCTAAAACTTGTTTTTCCGAACGTGAGGAATTATTAAGAAAATATACACTCCTGATATTTTGTTGAAATGTCTCTTTAATAGTTAACCTGAGGGATATTCTGATGCATGAGAGCTCCGACAAGGTTTCCGACCAGAGCCATGGGATCTACAGGGTTAGGGAGGAGACCTCCCATACCTCCCATTCCTCCGTCCCAAGGGTTCACGTTGGACCTAGATATTTCTAGGTTCAACTTTGTTTCTGGGTCATGTTCAAGGTTCATATGAGAAAAATGGAGAAGGTATGTAATAAATAAAATCTCCGCTCAGGGGATAAGAGATGGGGGCGATTTTTAAACCCTGTTGCCCAGAAATATATATATTAAAAGAATTACCTTGATGAAGGATATGAATTGTATCTGGGATACGGCATTTTTCTGAAATATGAAATATACAAGTTGTTGAGAATTAGTATAAATTCTGAACAAAAAATGCTAAAAAATATTCTTGTATAATAGAACACTGGTATATACTTGATACATCATACGATACATGTTAGGTAAGGTTTATGTTCATTTTCTTCGAGCTTAATACTTATTCATTTTTTTAAAAAATTTGGTGAATATTTCAGTCTGGCAGAATGGTGAGAAATAAAATAGTTCTCAGATTTTCGTAAATTAAAGTCATTCTCTGCATTGAACAAACAGAACAATTCTTAAAACTTGTTCTTCATCACAATAAAAACATTTAAAATTTTAACTTTCAGAATGGTTAGGCATTATAGTGTCAGGTACAAAAATGGAATAAAATATCAAAAACAAATATTATTTCAAACTTGTCGACATCAATATAAATACATAAAAACGATAGTTAGGCAGTAGTGTCAGGTACAAAAATAGTATTTTGTCGTAAAAAAAATTCCCATCACCAACATAGGTATATTTAAAATAAGAATAAACGCTGATGTTGGCAGGGGTATTTATTTTTTAGAATAGAAATGATAAAATTGGATATTTTGAGGAAATAATGAAAAGTTGTTAATCAAGTTTTTAATCAGAATTCAAATGTTTACTCCTTGAAAATCATTTATTTCCCCCACTGTGATAACCCCCAAGAAAAAGTGGAAAATATTTAAAAAGGGAAGTGGGGTGATTTTTCAATAAAACATATACCCCTGGTATTTAAGTCAAATCATTACAGAAAAAGCTGCCAGTACTCGACATCAAGGCGTTTGTTGAATTTAAATCCAACTTCCTTTAAACATCCAACCAGTTCAAATCCAAGACGCTTATGCAACCTAACAAGACAGCTACGATTATTTTCTTAATTCCAGGTAATAATCAGTTAACTGATCAATTTATCATTCAATCCATTAACCAGCCAATCTATCAATCATACATGAACAACATGGAACTTTTCTATTACTCAAACCGTTATGACCCATAGGGATCTCTCTCAATTGTAGTTTCAATCTTTTAAAGGGTATATCTAAGGCGCCAAACAATCAATCAATTATTTTGTTAGAGGCTTTCGTGACTTTTTAGCAACATGTATACCTAGATTATTTAAACACTAATAAATTAAAAATTCAATCAATTATTCTTTAATCTAATAAAATCTAGCTGTTTGTCCCTAGTACTAGGGATGTTAGGAACAGTTATTATTGCCATTGCGACATGTAAACCCAAAGCTCTTAATTTCTCCAGAAGACCCTCGTACAAAATACTTCCGACTCCAGCATTCACAAAATCCGGATCTACGTACAGTGAAGTCTCGACAGTTGCATCATATGCACTCCTTTGAATTTTATCAAACTTATTAGAAAACAAATATGAAATAGTCAGCGCACTTTTAACAATGGGGGGTTTATTTTATATATATTTTTTTAAAAATCATTTCCCCTTTTTAAAATTCATTAGTTCCCTCTCATCCTTTCCGATTTTATAAGCAATTAAGAATTTGATAATAATGCTCTCTTCATCCCAATCTTAAATTTGGAAAATTGATAGTCTCTGATAAAAATTCAAACCACTAAAAAGTCTAAAACTATGATTGAAAAAATTCCTATTTTTGAAGCAAGAAGCATAAGCATATCCCACTACATTGCCATTTGTCTCATACACATACCACGGATACTTCTCACTAAGCAGTAGCCAAATTATTTAAAAGAATATTTTTTAAGGCTATCAATTTTTAAAACTTGAAATATACATCTGGGAGGGGGGGGGGGGATGATTTTTAAGAAGAAATAAAATGTGCATCTATGACTTATTTCCCCACACATCCAAAAAGAACAAGAAGAGGGTGGTAGTGTTGAAATAAAAGCCTTGACACTTTTTTTTCATTTTTTGGCTTTCCTGATTGTTTTGATTCTTTTTTCAATATCTGGCGTAGAAAGTTTAGCTTCCTCAAATGTGATAGTTGTATTTAGAATGTAATGATTATAAATCCTATTCAAATTTGTATATGTTTTTTTTTGTGTATAAATTGTTTTCTTTCCAAATTTATTTCTCAAAGTGGCTCCAGGGAGACACTGGAGGCTTCCAACCCTCGACTAAATAACGATTTTTGGACCCCCTCCCCTCTCCTTTCAATTTTGTACCTGGATCTTAAATGTATGAGAAATGGATATAATTGACCATGTGACATCAGCGCCCGGCCCCCTACCCTGTCCTCGCTCGGTCCAAAAATTGTCTTAACCTAACCTTACCCTTACATAATACAAAATAACTTAAAATTAAAGGTCATGCAAAAAACTAATAGAAAGGGGGGTTAGAGTAAACTATTAATTACGGTTTTGATTTGTTTATTTGCAATTTATAGTCAGATTTCAGAATCGTGGAGATGCAGAAAATGTACTTTATTAGGTCATTTTACAAAAATTGTTTGAGCATAAAATGCAACTTGAAGCACAGAACCAGATTAAACTTTTCCGGGTTAAGAATTAGATAATCAGGTGAAAATCACGTCACATAACTAGATAGTGAATTTGGAATTACTGTTAGAGAAACATTTGATTTCACGTAAAGCTGGGATGGACACTTTTAATTTTTATTTTTTATAAAACTTAATCAATGCAATCGCTGATTGCATTACAACAAAACTTTGAGCTACGAGTCAGCGAGTACACCGGCGTCCCGTACCCCGTACCCGGCTGAAAGAAGGCAGCACGTCATTAAGGAAGATGGCCGATGTTTGATGATGGCTACATGTTTTTACGGAGGACAGCTGCTGAAATGTAGAAATACTGTCATTTCAAGCTGTGTAGTGTGTATAGCAGCTAGGAGCAGCTTACAGGGAAGACAGGAAAAAATTGAGATAATGAGAAAAGAACAATTGTAAAATAAGAAAGGCAATGAACATTGAACAAGGGTACAGGATATAGGAGTCGATCAGAAGCTGATGATCGTAAGGATCGAAAGGATCAGTAGAATCAGATGGATCAGTAGGATCAGAAGGATCAGTAGGAAGAATGAGTAGGATTAGAAGGATCAGTGGATCTGAAGGATGAGAAGGATGAGATGGATCAGTAGGATCAGAAGGATGAGTAGGATCAGAAGAATGAGTATGGACCAGAAGGATGAGTATGATCTGAAGGATAAGTAGGATCAGCTAACTTCAGAAGGATGAGATTATCAGAAGAATGAAAAGGATCAGAGGAATGAGTAGAATCAGTAGGATGAGTAGGATCAGAGGAATGAGTAGAATCAGAAGGATGAGTAGGATCAGAAGGATGAGTAAAATCAGAAGGTTGAGAAGGAGTAGAAGGATTAGTAGGATCATAAGGATGAGTAGGATCTAAAGAATGATTAGGATCAGAAGGATGACTAGACTACGATCAGAAGATTGATTAGGATCAAAAGGATGACTAGACTANAACTCTCTTTATTCTCAAGTAATTATCAATCCAGATACTGCACTCACTGTATTCACAAGCTAGTATCAATCCCAATACAACTCTCTTTATTCTCAAGTAATTATCAATCCAGATACTGCACTCACTGTATTCACAAGCTAGTATCAATCCCGATACAACTCTCTTTATTCTTAAGTAAGTATCAAACCAGATACTGCACTCACTGTATTCTCAAGCTAGTATCAATCCCGATACAACTCTCTTTAGGCGCGCTCAAGTAAGTATCAAACCAGATACTACACTCTCTGCATTCTTAATATGTATCAAAAAGATACAATTTGAACGGAGTCTCTGCTTCTCTACAAGAGAATTAATATGTGTCTAAATGTAATGAAACAAAGATCCATGTCCAACTTATCTATATTTTGGGTTTTATGATACATGTTAAATTTATGAATAAAGTCTTAAATCTTAAATCTTAGTTAAACTAATGAGTGTAATTAAATTCATAAACGTAGTTAGGGTACAGGCAAAGTTAAGCATAATTTATTTACTGTGTTACTGTGCTGTATGTATGTATGAGTGTTAATTTAAATTATTACAGATGGAGGACTGATGATGAGGTGAATTTGTAAAGAAGAATATTTCATTGGATTGGTGATATCTGGATGATATGTGGGTGATATCATCCAGATATCACGCACGCACATATTATCCAAATATCACTCACATATCATCCAGATATCATTCATATATCACTCACACATATCCAAATATCACCAACATATCATCCAAATATCATCCATATCACCCAAATATCGTCCAAATATCCCCCGGTCGATATTTTTTACAACACCCCAACTTGATGAAAAGATAAGGCACGGCTATTTAAAAAAAAACTCCACTTTGAAATTCGATTAAAACACCACTTCTCATCATCCAGATATTACCCAAATATCATCCAAATATCATCCAGAAATCATCCAGAAATCATCCAAATCCAAATCATCCAGAATCTTCTAGATATCATTCAGTCGACATCGATTTTTACAACCCCCCAACTTGGTGAAAAGTCGAGTTTTAATCCAAATATGGCATGTCTATTGCAGGTGAAAACTCCACTTTTTAACTCTAATAAAACTCCACTCTTTGAAAGCAAAAGTCGAGTTTTACTCGAGAAACTGCAGAGACTGAACATTGGATCAATGTCTATAGAAACTGCAGAGACTGAACATTGGATCAATGTGTATAGAAACTGCAGAGACTGAACATTGGATCAATGTCTATAGAAACTGCAGAGACTGAACATTGGATCAATGTCTAGAGAAACTGCAGAGACTGAACATTGGATCAATGTCTAGAGAAACTGCAGACTGAACATTGGATCAATGTCTAGAGAAACTGCAGAGACTGAACATTGGATCAATGTCTTTAGAAACTGCTGCAGAGACTGATCAATGGATCAATGTCTACAGAAACTGCAGAGACTGATCAATGGATCAATGTCTATGCAGAGACTGAACATTGGATCAATGTGTATAGAAACTGCAGACTGATCAAAGGATCAATGTCTATAGAAACTGCAGAGACTGATCATTGGATCAATGTCCGGAGAAACTGTAGACCCTGAACATTAGATCGATGTCTATAGAAACTGCAGAGACTGATCAAAGGATCAATGTCTGTAGAAACTGCAGAGACTGATCATTGGATAGAAACTGCAGAGACTGATCAATGGATCAATGTCTAGAGAAACTGCAGTGACTGAACATTGGATCAATGTCTAGAGAAACTGCAGAGACAGATCAATTGATCAATATCTACAGAAACTGCAGAGACTGATCATTGGAGCAATGTCTAGAGAAATTGCAGAGACTGAACATTGGAACAATGTCTAGAGAAACCGCAGAGACTGAACATTGGATCAATGTCTAGAGGAACTGCAGAGACTGAACATTGGATCAATGTCTAGAGAAACTGCAGACCCTGATCTGTGCCGGGGAATTTTAGTGTGGCCAACCCGATAATATCTTTTTGAGTCTTTAGTTTAAAGTGGGTTGAGGAGGCCTATCTAAAATTCCCGGGCACTTGTATTTGTTTGAAACCTTAATTTTGGATCTATCTTGTAACTCAATTTAATATGAGTGGAGAAGAGTTAAACGTCTTTATTTATAACTATTGCAATTTTAGAATGGAGATACGAGACTCGCTTGGCTTTCGAGGCAAAAGCCAACTACTTCATCTGTGTGCGGGTTACTATAGACTGCCTTCTTTTCTCCGACTTTTTTGCTGGTTTCATTCTAAGCTCGGACTGAGCGCATTTCTCCGTCTCTGCGTAGAGTAGACGGACAGTTTTATGAATACTATAACAACACTAAATTATCACTTTTTAATTTGAATCATATTTTTAATGTAAGGATCTGTGCAACATGAAGAGTGAA